TCGCGCTCGTGTTATTGATAAAATCACAAATGGATTACCTAGATGTCCTATTGATATTTCTAAACTTGCTCATTTGCATAACTTACCTATGGCGGATGATCAGTTTCATATCCCTGCTGATATTGATTGTCTTCTTGGTAATGAGTTGTTTCCTTTTCTATTAGGTAATAGAAAGGTTAGTATACCGAACTCATCAGTAGTTGCTGTTCAGACTACACTCGGTTACATCGCTATGGGTAGGGCACATTGTGATCCCTTCTCTTTTTATCGTGCCGGTCACTCAAAAAATACTAACTCGCAATCAGAACAATTATTTTTCTGCGAAACGAATTCTCACTCCTTAGAAACTCTCACTCAACGTTTTTGGGAACTCGAAAATGTCCCTAATAAAACTCATATGAGCCCTGATGATCAGGCTTGTGAATTATTATTCACTTCTACATATTCTCGCGATGATACAGGTAGATACACTGTACATCTTCCATTTAAGTCACAACCTTCAGAATTAGGTTATTCTTATTTTATCGCTAAAAGGCGTCAACTAAATTTAGAAAAGAAATTAGATTCAGATCCTAAAATTCGCGAAAATTATAACGAAACTATTAAAAATTACATTAATCAAGGTTATTTATCAAAAGTCACTGATCCTTCCTTACAAGTACCGCATTATTATATTCCGCACAGAGCTGTTTATCGCCCTGATAAACAAACGTCTAAAACGCGCGTAGTGCTTGATGCTGGTTGTAAAACTAGCTCAGGTAAATCCCTTAATGATTTGTTGTATATTGGTCCTAATTTACAGAATAATATTTTTGATTTACTCATTAATTTACGTATATTTTCTGTAGCTGTAACAGCCGATATTGAAAAAATGTATTTTCAAGTAAAACTTACAAATAATCATCACGCCTTTCAACGTATATTATATAGATTCGACGCTAACGAGGAGATGAGTACTTTTGAATTTAATAGGGTCACATTTGGTATATCTTCGTCTCCATATTTAGCTATGAGAGTTGTACATCAACTCGCATCTGATAGCCGAGATAAATACCCCTTAGCTGCATATGAAGCTGAAAATCATATGTATATGGATGACTATGTGAATTCACTAGATGGTGTTACTGTTGCAGAACAAATTTATCATGAAATGTTCGCTATGTTTAATTCGGGAGATTTTAATTTAGTAAAGTGGAGCTCTAATGATAATGATTTTTTAAATAGAATACCAGAATCAAATTTGAACCCGCTAAATATTAATTTTGACCCTGACGCAAATTCTAATATAAAAATTGTAGGCATGCAGTGGAATCAAAATAAGGATACTTTTCAATTCAAAATAAACACTTCTTCGCTTAAATGTACCAAACGTAATATTCTCTCAACAACCGCACGTCTGTTCGACCCTTTAGGTTTGATTAGCCCTGTCATCGCCTTTATGAAATTACTCGTTCAAGATTGTTGGATACATGAACTTGATTGGGACAGCCCTGTTCCTCCGCATATCGAAAATAAATGGCTTCAATTCCATGACGAACTTATTTTTTTGGAACAAATTGAATTTCCTCGACACGTAGGAATTAATTCTAATTCCCATGTGATACTCCTTGGTTTCTCGGACGCCAGCGAACGCTGCTATGGTGCTGCCGTTTACATCAGAGTTAGTACTGGTGAAAAAGATCATGGATCTGTCTTATTACTCTCTTCTAAGTCCCGTGTAGCTACACTCAATAGAATGCCTTTAGCTCGCCTAGAATTATGCGCTGCACTTTTATTAGCTAATTTACTTACCGCTGTTAAAGATGTATTAAGTAAACGCTGTACTATTCATGACATTTACGCATTTTCAGATTCAACTGTAACCCTTACATGGATTCATTCGCCCGCCTATAAGTTTCATACATTTATCGCAAATCGCATAACTGAAATTAACTCTAAATTACCCGCTAAGCATTGGTTTCATATCAACGGACGTGAAAACCCCGCTGATATAGTTTCTCGTCCTGTAACGCCTAAAATATTATCTAACCTTAAGTTATGGTTTAACGCCCCGGTTTGGTTTACGTATCCCGCTACTAAATGGCCGATTAAGCCATTCGAAATTAATTTCAATAATTCTGATCTCATGGAAATTAAAAATCTTTCTATGACAGCTCAAGTTACCCAAAATGTTACTACGGATTCCATTCAGGCTTTAATAAATCGCATTTCTAAGTATTCTAAATTACTTCGCATACTAGTTTATGTTCTACGTTTTGTAAAACATTTGAATACTCATGGCTCTATTTCTGTCACTGACTTGGAAATCGCTGAATTATATATTATAAAATATGTTCAAAACAAACATTTTTCTGAAAATATTTCCGCTTTAAAATTAAATAAAACAGTCGGTAAAAATATAATTAAACTAAATGCCTTTGTCGATACAAATGGTATCCTTCGTGTTGGTGGAAGGTTAGCTCACTCTCAACTTAATTATGGTCAAAAACACCCCATTTTACTTCCGTCTAAGGAACGCGTGGTTGAACTTTTAGTAGATTATTATCACATCATCAATCTTCATACGGGTCCCGCTCTTTTATTGTCGCTCATCAGACAAAAGTTTTGGATTCTGTCCGCCAGAAATTTAGTACGTCAAAGGGTACATAAATGCAATATATGTTTTAGAGTTAACCCTAAAAATACTTTCCCTCCAATGGGTGATCTTCCCACCTTCAGAGTAGCTGAAGTAAAACCTTTCGTATATACCGCCGTTGATTACGCTGGTCCCTTCTTTATAACACATATTCGTAAGCGTGGTATAAAAAGCCAAAAGGCATATATTTGTTTATTTGTCTGTCTAACAACAAAAGCTATACACTTAGAGTTAGTTACTGATTTAAGTTCTGACTTATTTCTCGCCGCTTTTAAACGCTTCATATCACGTAGAGGCCCTGTTTCTATGATCTATAGTGATGGAGGTACCAATTTTATTGGTGCTAAACGCAAATTAAATGAAATTTATTCTTTAATACAATCCAAATCACATATTAATTATATTAGTCAGCAATTACTGTCTGACCATCGCATTCAATTTAGGCATAGTCCGCCTTATGGTCCTCATTTTAATGGTCTCAGTGAAGTTAATGTTCGTTGTGTCAAAACGCATATTTTCAAGTCAATTGGTTCACAAATTCTCACATATGAAGAATTTAATACTATTCTCGTTCAAATTGAAGGTTTATTAAATAACCGGCCGCTCTGTGTCTTAAGCTCTGATCCCTCTGATATTTCCGCGTTAACTCCTAATCATTTTTTAAATGTTACTCCGCTTAAATTCTTACCTGCTGAAGATGTTACTGACATCTCAAATAATCGCTTATCTCGTTATCAACTCTTAAATAAAGTCACGCATTCTTTTTGGCTTCGCTGGAGTCAAGAATATTTAACTTCTCTCCAACAGAGAGAAAAATGGAACTCTCCGTCAAAACCTATTAAGTTAGGTACTATTGTCGTAGTTAAAGATAATAATTCTCATCCTCTCTGTTGGCCTTTAGGTGTAGTTGATGCGATTTATCCTGGAAAGGACAATATCATACGCACTGTTAAAGTACATACGGCATCTGGATCTTATATACGGCCAGTGGTTCGTCTTTGCCCACTGCCGTCGCAATAATTTTTTTTTTGTTTGTAACGCATTAGTTTTAAATATGTATATATATTCGCTTTATGAAGTCCGCTTATTTTTATCGCATGTTTAGAGGAAACCTCTAGGCCGGGGGAGTTGTCTGCGCCGTTTATTATAAATATATATATATATTATTAATATTACATTACTCGCATCACAACATACAATATAAAAACTATACAAATGACTCAAACGGTAGATAATAAAACCTCTTTTAAAATTCCACCCGCCCAATATAAAAAAAAAAAGAAGATCTCTCTCTCTGTCATGGTGTCAACGCGAAGATACGTTATAAAATACGCTCCTCTCGAAATTAAACCGCTGTGTTAATATCTCACCAAAAATAAACTGTGCTCAAAACAGTGTTGAGTGTGTGAACTATTTTTTTTATATAATAATAAGAATTCAAGAAAAAGGAGTATGACCGAAACCTATGGAAAATAACTATGTAAGTCCACTAATTTTCAGATTTCAATCATTGGAAATCCTCCAGTGTGTTACTGAGATTTTTGTTAAGAATATATTTCCGCTTTACGACTCGGCACGGCACGTACAATACGAATGACGTCATTTACTCTTGATTTATATTCCAAAGCTTTATAACTGACTTAAGCCTATTCTGTGATAAAAATAAACACTACGTCACAGTTTACCTTAAAGCTTTTTATTTTATAAGATAAACACTGACTCATTCAGGATTTTTTTGCTTCAGTAATTAACGACTCGAAAGACCATGACAAAGTAATAATTTTATAATTATTTTTTAAAATAGGGATGATGACTAATTTTTGTTTATTTGTCCGTCAGGTAGAGTGTTAAAACATATATAACACGTATTTTTTTCGTAATCATAAAATTACGGCGTTACATTGAGTTGAAATTTCGCATGACGTGACGTTAGAGTACGTTTTCTACTCAACAGTGACGTAGCGAGCCACCACTCCTCAACTTTAATGCCTGTTATCTAAGCTATTTCTTGTTAAATTGAAGTAAAAAATATTTTTCTATTATCTGACTGACGGACTAAATAGAATTGCATTTTTTTTACCCAGTCATCATCCCTATTGTAAGTTGTAAAAATAAATAATACGCAGTAATATGCACTTGAATTTTTCGTTATCGACCAATACCGGAGCGTACCATGACCTAATACTCAACAAAATAGCATTATCATTCTACAATTTCCTAATAAAATTTGAGTAACCATTTTTATTCACCGGTGAAATGTTGGCTCACATCACATCACCTCTCAATCATAATAATATCTTAGTCACCTGGCGAGCAACAGAAGTGTCTATAGGACTCTTCTTCGTCACCGGAGATCTGTGATCATATGTTGCAGGTTTGTACGGTAGTGAAACATGCATATTAACAAAAGAGGTTGAAAGCTTTTTAATGTGGTGTTGAAGGCGAATGTAGGGAATAAGTTGGGTGAAAAGGAACACGAACGAGTAGCTACTAATAATCGTGAATGAAAGGAGAATCCTGCTCAACACTATACATAACAGAAGAAAATGAATATTTTTTATTCAAATAAGGGTATTAATAGCACTTTAGAGTCGACAATTTTTTCCCTACCACTAATGCATATAGAGGGAAGATGATGGTACACTTTTTATGACATGATATGTAACTAATTAAAACAAGTAAAAGAAATAGTAAGCTCAAATATCAGAGAGATACGGATATAGTAAAGATGCCACAATAGAGCCACAGACACGCATTTACCTATATAACAATGATATTTGTCTTGGCATAACAAATGTCCAACTATAGAATTCAACAGAGAATATTATAACATTTTGAGACAGTTGAATAATCGCTCTCATCCGATAATTAATAGACTGACTTAATCAATTACGAAACTTTCACCATGAAACTGAGTAACTTCGCTTTCACTAAAGGATACCCGTTCTTTTTAATTTAACAATTGAAAATTATAACGTTAAGTTAGATGAGCTATAAAAGTACTTGTACCTTTGTATTTCAATCTTTCATTATAATTTGCCGTGTTGTGTTATGCAAAATCTTGTTTTCCGGTTCTTGTTTTCGATTGAGCTGAAATTTGTGCGTACTTAACTTGGATGAAATATATTGTTAATATTAAATGTAGCCGCAGATTAAGTTCATTTCTCCATGATGGAACCGGAACGTTACTGTGAGAGTTTTCATTTGTTTTGACAAGGACTTTAGTCAGAGATAATGACCAGGGACTGATGAGGAAATTGGAAAGTAGCTAACTATGGGTACTTTGTAATTATGTTATGCAACGTGACTACACATGATCTCTAGTACAATATAGTGTTCAACAAAATATAACAATTGAATTAATTATATTTTTCATTGAAATTCTGTCGAAATTCTAGGGAAAGTAAAGAATATACAAGATTTTTAAACACTACACAAAGGAGAATGCCTTTTTTTGTAAAGGGATTCGTATCAACTCGCTACAATCCAAATTTACACTCAATGGGTTAAGTTTTTACTACTATCAAGGTTTTATTATAATTCTACCTCATTTTAGACATATTCGAAAAAGTAATAAAGAACCCATGTATATTTTATTGCTATTTAATTACTGTGATAATTGTTATTATTTGTTTATTTGTTTAAGGCCGCACTTAAGAAGTGAATTTGCACACTATAGACTACACTTCCTTAAGAACACTTAACTGTACTTTTCTATTCATTTTAAACATATAAGCAGGCACCATAAACTTCGACTGGCGTATTCCAAGAAAATATACTATCTCAACACAGTAAGTGACTCTCTCATATAAAAATAACTATCAATACCAAAAGTATCGTCATTCATCCATAGTTTTGTTAATAAATAATAGTTCTTTTTTTAAATTTTGGCTAGAATATATTTAGAAAATGAAATACATCGATCAACCATGGATTTCTAATAAAATACGCAATGTGTTTTTTATTTTATTTTATTAATTACAAAAACAATACTATCGTATTTAATACCATTCAATTATTACTATTATATCGACGCTTAAGAACCAAGACCATCTATCTACACTTTTGGCGATTTTGACTTTTTAATGCAGTTCTTTTCATGGTTAATTTACGCATCGTTTCCTTTAATCGATTATTTCAAATTCGCAATATATAAGGAGTTATGCGAAAATACCAATACCACCTTAGTTACGTGTCGTAATAATTGTATGGAAATACCACCTATCTACATAACACGTAATTATTCGTTCTTATTGCGAGTTGCAAAATGAACTGTTATGCGTTACAACATAATAGGATATATATAGGATCCCATACATAGGCCCTACAGACTCACGCCGAGAAGTCCCAACACCCGAGACACGAGAATGTGATAAGTTTCTCGCCTTCTCGTTCTCGGGTTCGCATCTTCTCTGTTTGTTGTCGATTTTTTGTCCGCTTTAAGAGATGCCACTCGTCCGCCGAGATGAAGGCCGGCACACTCTCCCTCAACCAAGCTTGGGTGCTTTTTGCCTTATGGGATGGCGCCGAGTCTTGCTTAACCCAATCCTTATTATGAAATAACGTATCAGACAGGGATTTCACCACAGGCTCTAAAATGTCACTCTGATAATTCTTGGCTTTCACCTCGACATCTTTTTGGCAGAAATGGAGCGGAGTGACACCTTCATACGAAATTTCGTATGAAGGAGTGCGCGAGAGATTCCTTCAGGGGAAGTTTCCGATATGCAGCTTCCAAAATTTGAAACAACATTCCTCTGCCTTTGTGCATATTGTGATACTTTGCTTACTTTTTTTATATTTAATTTTATTTTTTTTTGCATGAACTGTGTCTTGTGTCTGTACTAGAATAAATGAATTTCAATTTCAATTCCGTGCAGAAGCTGGGACATCCTTGCTACTTTTAGCGTCCATTTGTTTTGTTGGTTAAACTTTTCTTTTCCAGTAAAAAATTTCTCATCGGTGAAGAGTTCCTGGCATCACGTCTCCTCAGCAGCAATGGACAACGTTCGCGTCGTAACTTACGAAGACGATCGTTTAAAAATTGAATTTTTCTTCGGCTATAGGCCTTTATCTTAAAATCATATTTCAGTAATCTGTTCACTGAAACGCGCGAAATATGAGTCTGCAGAGCGAGTTCCTTCTGAGTGCGACATGGATTTCGGCGAAGTCGCTTTCGGATGATTTTGATGTTCGCAGGCGTCCTGACAGAGCGTGGCCGACCACTCCTCTGGCGATTTTGCAGTGAACTTGTCTCTTTGTACCGCTGTATTGTGTGGTAGACGAAGTTACGGCTTACAGGAAAACTTTTCAGCTCGCGGAAAATCTGCAGCGGTTTTTTTTCCGCCTTAAATAGCGAAATGACAGTAGCACGTAATGGTTTCGTTCCCCCCATCGAAAAGTTTGTCTCAAAACTTATGAACATATGAGGTACAGAGCGCTGTGAGTTTAAATATTTAATTATTAGTGTGTTCATTGTATATTAAACGACCTTTTTCTATTTGGATTAATTTGTACCATCCACTCTCATCTGGGCCTCATTTTTCAATTTTTCAGTCACAATGCTAGTGCATGTATACCAAAGCGCCTTTACTAGTAAAGTCATCCATATCCGAGAACGGAGAGATCTATTGAGAACTCACCGTGAGTGTAAACGGTGCAACTATTTCTCTTCAAGGTCCGGCGAGTCTTCTCGGCGTGAGTGTGTACCGCGTAACTAAAACACTTCCTAAGTTATTGGTACAAGTTTTTACAGTACATTCTTGCCTTAGGTGCCTAACTAATAAAATTTGCAAAAGCTTTCTGAGCCACGACATTGCAGTATATTGAAGAAGGTACTAAGAGTATACATTGTGCGGAGGTCAGGCGCTGGAACTATATTATTTCCTTTGCCAATACCATCTATATTACAGTTAGCTGCATAAACATACGAAATATTTTAACTAATACCAGCTATCTACAGTAATCTTGAAACTAATGAAGATTTCTTGAAACACATGCAAACACCTTATTTCCTATGCCTATCCATTAATTGATCAGATATAAAAATAAAAAAAATTGTTGTAGAAAAAATATGAAAAGTTTTTTTCGTCTCCTGTAAAATCGACTTTTTGTAGATAGATGGTTTTGGTTCTGAAGCGTCGATATATCATAATTATGGACTTCTGTACTTAGTCAGTAGCTAAATAAAAAAGATATTCAAATCATTGTCAGTTTACGAAACCATGGGCAATTGTATACGGAACGTTATTTTTCGGATTTGCGTTTTTAATTGTTTAAAAAATAAATGCGAATGGTTAACTATTTATTATCACTTTTTAATGCGGTGAATGATTTAAAAAGCAGTGGTAAAACATATAAATAAAACATTATATGTTGATAATAGTGTACCTGTGACATTTAGATGTTGCGGACCTTGCTGATCTTAAGCAGAATAACACGAAGCCGCTGTTGGAAACTAGAATAAATCTTCTTTGATAGTGGTTACTCCTTTTTTATTATCTTTGCTTGAGGTCCGGAAAGCTTACAAAATCCTATTCAACCGGCCCTTCTTACATTCACTTGGGGTGGCTCGCACTTAGCGACTTTATTAAGCAGTGCGTAATCAGTGCGTAATTATACATTAATTCCCTACTTTACAAAGCCACTCTTAATATCTAGGAGTCTCTAACAAACGTTTTTTTTATCTTTACATTATTTACTTTACAATACATTCTTAAGTAATACTTACCCCACCTACGTAGGTGGGGTTAGTATTTATAGAGTTCGTATTTATAGTAGTTCGTTCTCATAGTAAGGTGCGCCGCGATCTTGCAAGACATATGTATTTACGTGGGGTAGAGCGCGATAGAAGATCCCGCTTAGACTAGTGCCATCTCGCACTACCCGCTTCTAAGGTGACTTGTAGTATAGGTTAATAATTGTTAAAGTATGACCTCCAGTACGGATAAAGGCTTAAAATAAAATCTCGTATCAGGTTAACATTAATTACTGCAATTTTAAAGATTCAAAGTTTTTTTTTATGAATCCTCATACATCATGGTTATAAAGAATCACTTATATTCTGTAAATTTGATATAGTACATTGCATATGCTTTACCGATAAAACGTAAAAACCAAAGTTGTAATATGACAAATAAGATCACATATAATCTTAAACTTACGTTAATTAATTAGATATGTTAGGCATTGTTCCCACCCTTGTATAAGCCGTTCCTCTTAATCCGATCTTCTAATTAGGGAGATCATACTTGCGAGTACACTTATGTATCTGGATTAAAACAGAATTCATGAAAATTTGTGACCGCGTTGATGAAAATTTATTTTAATCGTTTAATTATTTGCACAAACTTCAATTGAAGTCAGGAGATTAAAAGTATATAGTCAGCTAATCCGCGCCCGAATACAATTCTCATTAGATAAGATCGGCTTCCAAACTAATCAGCTGTAGACAAACGGAGAGATACAAGTGACACGAGACTTCTGTTTTTTCTTTTGGAGATATTGAATCCAAATCCAGAGTGTAGTTATAGTATCGAAGGCACCTGTTATATTCCAGTATTCTTCTTTAAATATGTTTAGATTTTACCATTTTGAACTTTAATTTTTTCCACAGAAATGTACTGGCGCACGCGGATCTCACGAGTCGGGCGTGGGCTTAGGCTCGACTTTTGCTCGGACCCTCCCGCCGGCATATAAAGTCAGCAAGTCCGTGGTGGCTCTGCTGAAAGCCTTCGGGTGGTACAAATTCGCTATTGTAGTTGGGGACGCCGTCACAGCCGCCGCTCAGCAAATGGACGCAATCAAAGTAAGTTATCTTTAAGTTTCGGTTAATGTATTTGAAATTGTAATGTCGTGAAGATATAGTTTAACGGATTCCGGGCTTGTTAGATGGTAGACTAGGATTTCCGGCAAAAGAAAAATATTTTTACGAACTGACATTCAGAATGGGAATGACTTATTTCTAAAACTTTTAAATTACGAAAAGCGAAAAGTAATCATCTTAAAGATCAGAGACAATAAGTTTGGATGGGAACCTAGGACATAATGTAACGGTGTGGTTCGACGCACCGTTACAACAGTAAAAGTCATTTATAAATGATTAAAATTGGTACTTAAAGGAATTTCTCGTTTCTATTCATTTCATTTGATCTCTTTGTCTTTGAGCCTATTTTTATTCTGATCAGTGTCAAGAGAGAAGCTACAAAGTTACTGGTTGAAATAAACTCAATTTTTTTTCTGGTATTTTATTTTTAAGCTACGATATTAAACTAACATGTATCTATTTATGATACAATAGCATTTCGAAAACAAAAAGACAAGTAATCGTGCAATCAGTAACAATAAAAAAAAACTTTATTAATTTATTGTCTCTTGTTGCTTTTGGGTATTCAGATACTCCATAATAAGAGAGCTTTAGCTACTCATCTTGGAAACAGAACAATCTATTCGATGTTGTAATATACCAACTTAAAATTTAAATAATTTAATGCAAAGATAAATTAGGTACTGTAAATAATTCATAAACTTATTAAAATAACAAAATTGAATTGACATCATTTCGGTATCCATACATATATAAAAGAAGATATCTTGACATACTGACTGACAGACAACGCACAGCTTAAACTGCTGGTCATAAGATTTGAAGTTTGGGAATCATTCGTCTTATTACTTAGAGATGTACTAAGGATTTTTGGGAATTCCACGTTTGTACGTTATCTCTTTGTTTTTGGACCTATATCGATGAAAATTTGTATTTGGTTATCATTGATTTTGGACTCTACTTCGAACAACTGATGAGATAAAGCAAGAAGTTGAGAGAAAGCGGCCAGAATTAATACATAGAAGGGGTGTGGATTTTCATCATGATAACGCTAGACCTCACACATCTTTTACCATTCAGCTAAAATTTTGAGAGTTTGTTTGGGAGGTGTTAATGCATCCGCCGTATAGTCCTGGTCTTCCATCTTTAGATATTTACCTGTTTCGGTCTCTTCAGAATTCTTTAGGCAGTGTCAGGTTAACATCACACGAAGACTGCCAAAACCACATATCGCGGATTTTTTGATCAGAAGATCCAAAATTTTAGACTTGAGTCTCAAAATGGGATTATATTATGATAAAGATGACAAAAGTTATCGAACAAAATGGTACCTATCTACTTTAGTTATATGTAAATAAACTTTATAAAAATGTTGTGAATTTCTATATAAACGCGCAGAAACTTTACCCCAACATAAACCATTATGGTACCAAATTTTACTTTATTATCTATTCGAAGCTTGGTCAGTACTGGAAATAGTTCGGATTTTTCTGTTGTTCGTATGGGCCGTTCGGGAGCGGGCGGGGAGGCGGGTTTGTTTGTCTTACTCTTGGGCTATTGCTTTTAAGCGTGAAAAAGAGAGATAGAAGATATTGTGTTTTTTAAATTATTAGGAGGTAATAAGAACTATGCAATCTAAAATAACGGAAATACCTTTAAAAAATTGTAATAATATAATAAATATTAACAAATCATAATCTAGTCGGACTCGGAAACATCAGTCATTAGCACAGTGCTTTAAGTTTTTGTAATATTCAAGAAATTCTTATGTTATTCATTGCAGAAGGGCAATTTAATCTTTATATTTTACAGAAGAGATTGGTTTTTCTTCCTCATGATTACTCAGCTGTTTCACACTTAGCCGTGTAAATGAAGTGCGATATTATATTTTAGTGCTAGCCACCTAATTGGACGGATTTTTTACTCAGTTGGCTGCGACATATTTAAACTCGAAAGAAAACCAGCTGTAAATTAAAAAAATCTACCAAACAATTGTTATTCATACCCGACGAACTTCGTACCGCCATATTATGTCTCCAGTTATGACTGAGGATTTTTTTTTTATAAATTGTCTTAAATATAAACCTTGTCCTGACCTGATAGTAAGGAACATATAAAAAAGAAACATTCAATTTAATACAGTTGTTCGGAATTTATGAGCGCACATACATTTTGGCGATTTAATTTATATTTATATCTACAAAATCACAATCAAAATATTCAAACGAAACTATGTCAAAATTCAAAGATGTCAAAAGAAAGATGCCAATTCTACTAACTAAATTTTGTTTAAATCGAATCGAAAACGGATCGAAACCGAACGAAACTACAGTTATTAATGGTTTTCCTATTCTACAAAGTGACATACGAATAAAAATTTATTTAGTAGAATTGGCCCCCTGAATCGATAAAATTGAGCTTGAATCATACTAATTCACGGGAAATCTATAGCTCATATTGTCTCCAAAAAATGTGTGCTTATACTTGATCGTATTTCTAATCTTTTGGTTGTAATCTTAACACGATTGTTTTAACTTCACTCGATAGAAATTCCAAAATAACATCGAAAAATATTGCGAAGGCAAGTTTCTCAGTTATGTGCTAGATTAATCATACTCAGTACAAATATATATCAAAAGTTGGTTGTACCCAATTTTTGATAGTTTTGTAATTGGCACATATGGTCATTTTTTTCAAGCAACTTTAAAGTATTGACATTTCTGTCACTCATATTGCAATTCACAGGGAACGCTATAGTGTAGCCCACACTAACTTAGTTACTTATAGTACCGGGTATTATACGCGTTTTTTTAAACTGACCTGCGACCGGATACTTGATACTTATAGACCCGGTACTATAAGTATTTGAAATGCACAAATTTCAATGAATACTAACTAAGTTCACGCCATTTCACCAAAGATTACAATATTTCACGCTGAGGCGTGTTGCTAGATGGATCTATGTTGCTTTGTCCAGCGTTTTGACGTTCTGAAATCGCTAAAATTGCCAAAAAAACTATTTAGATTAATTATTTTAATTTTGTTAACATTAAATAACATGTTAAACTATTTTTTAATTTTTTTTTCAAATTTTTATACATTCTTGAATTTCAATTTTGCTCTCCCATATATAGGTATATATTATTATTTTTATAGGTATATATTATTCGTTAATAATTCGTTAAAATAATTTAAGATATTATTTTATTCTATAAAAAACATTATTTTATTTATTTTTAATCTACTTTACAAATTGTACTTTTGTAAAAATTTATAAATATAAAATATGACAATAGGTAAATAGTCGCGGGTAAAAGCTAGTAATTAGTATAGATATATGTAGTTTAAATTAGATATTTAAATAATTTCTTAATCAATGAATAAATTTCCAAAGGAAGGCTACCGCACTACGAATTATCAGAAAGGGAGGAAAACTTTGTTAAAATTAGTTCACATCAGATAAATTTGAATATGCCTTATCAATCCAAGTGTAAACTTTTGGAAGTAAAGCTACACTAAGACCTAATTGTAAAGTAGTTAGCCTTGTGACGGGTTCTATGCTTAGGCGAATTAATGAAAGGCTGACTAAGCTTGAGAATTGATTTATTTTATGTTAAATAAGTAAAGGGTAAAGAAAAAAACTATAACAAACAAAAAAATAATATAAAAACAGTTCGTCAGTTACCTAAATATAAAATTACAATTACTAAATAGATCAAATACATAACCCTTTTTGGGGTTCTTGTAATATGTAAACTTGGACGATATTACAAGATATAATTTTATTTTAAATAATATATAATTCCTATTTTAATCATAATAACTTCAATATTATAATATTTTATATTTAAATTTATACGATATACAATAACATGTTCACAACAGATGATTTTTTTACGAACTGATTCATAAAGAGCATGTTGGATTAGTCAAAATTTCAGGTGAATACTAAAAAGAAATGATGTTGAATGTCAAAGACAAAAAGTTGAAACCTAGGACGTAATAAACGGTGGTACGGCACATCTAGGCTACCTAAATCGTGGGAATAAATCATATGCAAAGTAATAAATACGCCAGAGTAGGGATTTATTTCTATACTTAAAATATTATAAATAAAATTGAAGTTTTATCGTACACATTACTTCAATATTATCATAATAAATATATAATACATCAATATTATAATATAAAAAATACAATAATATTAAATGAATATAACAATATATAATAAAATTTAAGTAAATTGAATACATCAAACAAAAATTGTTCTTCAATAAAGTCTACTATTATTTTACCTTTATTCTTAAATTGTGAATTATATTTACTTTTATATAAATAGCATTAACGATGCTGTATTTCTATAAGATAAATTTCTGGGGACTGTTTCTTGTATTTGTCACCTTGCTCCTGTTAATGCTGTATATAATTTAATTGTCACGTGTCAAGGGCGTGCGCATGGGGGGACCCAGATGCTTCAGTCGTAGGCTCTGATTCAGGTTGGCTAACAACGGCAAGAAGTGTGTCAAAATTATGTGAGGTAAAAAATGGGCGGTTAGAATTACATAATTTAGGGTGGTTTGAAATCTGCCTCTGTGCCACCACAAGGATTCTCGAGCACTGTGCTAATAAACAAAAAGTAATCAGTGCGCTCATAGTCTTAAGCTTTTGTTAGACTGTCATATCACCAGGTTTTAGAGTATATACTTACAATTACTCTTACCTTGAACAAATCAATAGACTTGTAAATATTTACCTCTTTTTATGTTAATGCAATAAACTTTCCTCTAATGAAGATCGTCGACCCGTAATAAATAAAAAGGGTTTATTATGTTTTCACAAACAACGTCGTCATTATCTACTTACCTACAAATATAGAGTGCAAACAAATAAGTAGCTACTGGAACAGATACTTATACGGGTGATAGTACTCGAGTTTCGGAGAACATATAAAGACACCGTCTTTGCTTTAATGTTTTTAGTAAGTAAGAAATTGATTAAGTAATTAGTAGTGTTAATATCAAAATTTTGTCGTTAATAATTTTCTTTCATTTCGCTTGTAGAATACCATTTACAGACCCTTAGTTTCTGTCTAGAACTATGCGAGTATTAGACAGTACTCGTTGATAAGAAATTGCGTTACAAATAAATATAAAATTTTCAACAATGAACAGAAATCGCGTCTGAATTCGCCCGTTCTCAGTCAGCCACTGGTTGAACTGGTACATTCACCCTTATCAGACATTGATCCATATTTTGTATAGTTATTGACTTTACCCTTTATTTAAGCTGTAGGCGGATTTAGGCTATACCCTTGTCAGAGAGAATATATGTTGGCGATAGGTTTCTACCTATCCCGAGCCCTAAAAACATAATATGTAATTATACGGTTCCTATATTTGATGGTGTTATAGATATATATTTATTGTATTAATATGTTAAGGTTAAAATTATCGTAAACTTACTAAAGGTGGGAAATCTTATGTTATGTTGATACTTACTTTTGTCCTTACATATATGTATATAAATAGCTATTCCCGCGACTTATTCTGCGTACATCTTGCGCATAATTCACAAGCATATGATATAACTGCCCACGTTTGGAAAATTTTCATGACCGGATCAGTATTTCCGAGGATTTCCCCTAAAACAAACAAACAAAGATAGAAACTTAGCATCTTTATAATATTAGTAACGCAGAGCCAAGCAACTCTAACGACCAAAATATAGTGGAATCCAAGCTGCATAGCCTGGCTCAGAGGCGTAACTGCCTGCTTGTCCATCTTCAATAGGATGTACTACTGGGAGTTGCACGAGCTCATTCCAACTGCGCCATTACACTCTCGGCAATCTAGTTCCACGGCAATATAGGATCGTCATTTGGTAGATATTCCTAGATGCATATAAGTCCGAGTCTTAGTTAAGGCAAGATTGAATAGTTTCTTTCTGGGCCAGTTCGTCCCACCGTTGACCTCATTCATGCCCTTAGGCTGGATTGAAGTCAAGAGTGAGTCCATTGCAAATAAAATAAACATATATAAACATCATGTAAATTGAAGAGGCCCCAAATGCATGGCAATTTTAAATCTAATTCACCATAACAAAACTAGTTTCTTTTTTACCATTTTAGTCAATTTTCAGCAGTCGTTTTTTCTATCTTTTGAAACACAAAAGTAATGATTGCTTGTCGTACACCGAAATTTTGCCATCTAATACTATGAATTTGTAGCTGACGAGGCGAATTTTGCATCGTTTGTGAATAGTTATTGTTCAAAGTTTTTTACCCATGCAGCGTAATGAAGCCACAATAATCTTAGGCCACACGCTTGTTTTTGCTTTTGATTGACGTCCAATATTAGAGTCTCATTTGCTAGAAGGTAGTGCTTGTATGCAATATTTGTTCTTAGGACTCTACACACCTTTTCCATTTTAACAACTAGGCAAATTGCTGGAGGAATTTGCTTATCTGGGGTTGTGGAAGTAGCTCAGTAGTCAGTTTTCAAGAATAATATTACTATACTTATGTACTTCATTTAATATTTGAATGTATTTAAAGTATTTTAAGGGGGAAGGATATAAAACAATGGAAAAGCAGGCCCTAATTGTTGTGTTGTAGTATAAAAGTTAGAGTGAGCTTTGATAAAACTAATAGGACCTTCTGAGAGTAAGGAAAAGAAACCAAAAACGATTTCTTTTTGTGAATAACAAATTAAAAAAAATCTAATAAGAAAAAAAAAGAACAAACTTCAGATAGAATGATAAATAATACTTATATCAAAAGCCACTTATTTAAGCAAATGCAATTGAAATAGGGCGGGCGGAGGTCGAGGCTTCCGTAGATTATTTATTAATTAAATGATAGGCGCCCGACTTCTATAGCATTTTCTTAAACGATTATTATTTATTATTTTTTAAATTAAAAGTCGGTGCTTTTTTTTAAATGTTTTTATTTCATGCTTTTGATGACCAAAGTATAGTTTGGGAAGCTACTTAATACACGTTGGACACAACAACTGAAACGGCTACTTTGATAAAAAATATATATACTCCTTGAACATAAAGAATTTACCTTTCGAATTTTGAATAAATTCCAAATACGAAATCTTTAGTTTTTTAGCTGGAAATTGCCATGTTTTACCATATCAACTAAATATTTAGGTGATATTTGGTGAAAATCGTATTTTATTTTGTTATAAAAGGAAAACCACTGATTCGATTTTGATACAATTTAAATGGGACCACGTCGATCCATCAAGTTTTCGAATAAAAGAAGATTTTGAAAATCGGTTACCAATTAGCGGAAATATCGGTGAACATTCATAAAAAAAAAATACATATAACCTCCTCCTTTTCAATTTGGAAGTCTGTTAAAAATAAATGAAATCCCAGCAAAAACATTTTCCTTTAAAATGTTGCTAAAATATGGTGTCGCATATGGCTCGCATCGTCAAAAGTTTCAAATTTTATGTAACTCTTCGCATATTAAGCGGATCTTTTAGCTGTATCATAAGCGTCTCATTCTACATGCCCTTTTAACAAACTCTAAAATTTAGTCGAAACATGTGACTTGTTTCATCACAAGTTATTTCAAATGAAGAAGAGTTTACATAAAAAAAATGTGGCGTTAATATTTTCCTAATACTTCATGAACTTTTGAACAAGAAAAATGTCTGAATTGGCAAAAAAATTAGCGTTTCATATAAAAAAATATTAAGCGATTTCATTTTCATTTATTTAGATTTAATGAAATGTGTATTTGCTGTTTTTTATTTATTTATTTGTGTCTCTTTTGGTGGCAGGAATTGGCGCAGTCGAACGGCATGGTAGTGACTACTGAGCACAGCTTTGCTGACTACATACCACTACACATCTCAGAAATGGAGAGAATCGTCGATCAAACATACGACAAAACTAGAAGTAAGTTTATTTTTATCTTACAATTAGTTGATCTTGTAACACTCGCTCTTTCGACATAGTTCGGTCCAATTTGTGAGTATGATATTTTATTTATATAATTTTTTTTCAAATACATATATAGTTAATTTTGTTGTTAAAGTAATACTTTATTACTTCTCGTAACAAACACTCATTGATCGATTTCATACAAATGTATATCTTAAAAATAAAAAAGATATGGCTCAGTTTATGCTGTCACAGGGTATACCCGGATTACGCAAATGTCTTTCCATTATGCTTGGCGAGACAATGTGTTATTTTTAGTTTTTTTTTCTTGTTCATTTATAAACAAAGGTTCTAGACTAAACATTAATGTCTTTTTTTCATAAAAATACAAAAGACAACAAAAAAGCATTACTTCACGTATCCGAACTTAATTTACGAAGCACCTTCGTCGTTTACAATTTATATGACTATATGAATGACTGAGCAGTATATTGTTAACATACGTATACATAGCTAATACTGACTCTTAAAATGCTACCGTATCACTGAACGACAACATTTTTACGAACCAAAATCTACCATACACAATATAAATCGATTAAATAGCAGATTTGTTAATAGATACGCTACAAATTTTTATGTTTAAAACTAATTAAAGAGGTTAGTTGTCAACTTTTGTTATTTTATAAATAAATAGTCCATTAATATCTGAGAAATAATGTAAAGGTAATAGAATATCTGCGACTAAGTTTCTGTCGCAGGAGACTCTGTATTGTGGTTTGTGGAACTGCTGTAAGTCGGCCAAATACGTTTCCTACTATATCAAGCCATGGTGCAACTGATGCGAAAAACGTATGAGGGCCTGGGCAATCTTTGTTATTTGTGCGTTTATGTTTCATTATCATCACCAGCCCTTTTACGTCCCCACTGCAGGGGCTCAGGCCTTCCTTATGGATGGTTAAGGAGGATGGGCCATGACCCTCCACACTGGCCCAATGCGGATTGGAGGGTAATAACGACTGCAAATGCAGCCGGGACCAACGGCTTAACGTGCCTTCCGGAGCACGGAGTAGCTCGAGATAATAATTTTTTGCTCACCCATCCCGTGACCGACCCTTGCGAAAGTTGCTTTACGACTGCGATCGCAAGCCGCGGCGCTTATCCTCTACGCCACCGAGCTACTCTATGTAAATCGATTAAATAGCAGACTTGTTAATAGATACACTACAAATGTTTATGTTTATTACTAACTAGCTGACCCGACAGACTTCGTCCTGTCAAAAAGCCTACATTGCTTAGACAACAGTGAGTGCTTGTAATTTAATATGAACTTTATACCATAGCAATAAAGCTCAAATTGACTACGTTTTAGTTACAAATCATTTGTATGGGAAAAAGAAAAGGGCTATTTTTAGGGTTTTTCCAGCAATAATTCTAATTTTTCTCGCCGTAAAAACCATCCTTGAACTTCAACGAACATTTTAAAAAAAGATTTGGCCAAATTGGTCGAGGCGTTGTTGAGTTATGCGCTTACCAACACATTTTGCGATTCATTTTTATATATAAGATTAAAGAGGTTAGTTGACAACTTTTTTTTATTTTATAAATAAATAGTTCATTAATATCTAAGAAATAATGTAGAGGTAAAAGAATATCTGCAACTAAGTTTCGGAGATACGGTTTTGTGGTTTGTGGAACGCTGTAAGTCGGCCAAATAGTCGTTCCTTACTATATCAAGCCATAGTGCAACTGATGCGAAAAACGTATGAGGGCCTTGGCAATATTTGTTATTTGTGCGTTTATGTTTACAGTTAGTATAATGAAAGGTATTACTTTTTTAAAACTAATTTATTGCCGTATGTATATTAATTATTGTAGTATATTTTCCTTACTAATTCAAGTTTTCAAAGCGTAATATTTTCCACATTAGTGTCATATAATTTATTTAGTTAAATATTTATAAGTTAAAATGGTCCATATTTTCCGAACATATAACATAAACCTGTATTTTCACTTGTAGGACACAACCATAATATCCCAAGGAGATTTGATATGTCAAAAACGTCTGTGTCCTACTCTTCCTTTGAAGAGCTTCATAGTCGAGACTTAAATACATCAGATTTACTATCCATGTATCTCTGGAATTCTGGGACCACACTTGATTTGCTACCCTTTGATTTAATTTGCTTGTGACCATTTTGAATTGTAAGATTGTGCTTTGTTATTTTCTCCTGTAATGTTCTACAATATGAACTTAATTAATTTATGCCCTCATTCATTTTTAATGAATAAATGACATATATGTGTCAATTATATTTTAAAGGGAAAACATTTGACAGATTACTTGCATTGAATAGGAACCGAAACTAAAACATCGACGCGGGGAAAACAGCTAGTGAATGATATAGGTTTAGGTAAATATCGTCACTACTACTTGTAAGAGTCGATACGTTTTGTATTAGAGAAGTCTTAAATAGATGTGGATAAAAATATTGAACGATTACGTACGAAAATTGATCAATTCATGTTGTACCGAGATGCGTCTATTCTTTGTTTCCGGACTTATGAAAAAACAAATAGTTTGCGGTATTAAAATCCTGATGACATTTAATATGTCAAATTTTATAGAATAGTAATTGCTTTCTCTGAAGTGCTGCAGCTCGATTCCATTTTCATTTTAAAAATTCGTGTGAATTTGTTGTAGTAAAATGTTATTTTATTTGTATTTTTAATTATATAATTGTAATGGAGTAACTTATTTATTAATGTTTATATAAATGTTAGTAATTATAGATGTTAAGTGTTTTGTTGAATCTCAGGGGCATCTGCTGAAAGTCAGTGATGTAGCAAAAAAGAGGCCCGTTTGGTGTAACTTCTTTTTTGATTATTTCGCGATGTAATATTATATTACTTTGTATTTTATGCCAAATAAACGCTTTCTATTCTATTATATTCTAAGACTGCTTATTTCTAGTCGAAATGACTACAAACAGGTCCGCAACTAGATACAACAAGGAAGTCATTGTTTTTCTCCCAAAAAAAAATTAATAAGGATAACATAATTACTGAAAATAAACTAAATACGTACCATATGAATGAAAACAAAATAATGTATTTTCGAATTGTTTAATTTATTTCATCTATTTGATAGTCAAGACTCATACACTAAAGGATAATAGGTGACAGTTATGTTGATTGATTAATAAAGTAATATATTATTTATTAATAAAATATTACATTAGAAAGAACTAAATGAAGCGTATATAACAAAAAAAAAACTAATACAAATATGTTCTTGTAGAAAAGTTTAACAGGGTACGGAAAATTTATTTCCGTCTAAGGAATATTGAAATTATGATTCATAGTGATAGCAAGCAAAGAGTTGTGTCAAGGGGATTGCCTGTCATCATACTACTTTTTCCAAGACGAAGTGCTCTGAGGTAATAATATTTATTTTCATATTCAAACGAGACTCGACGCGAGAAAATGAAAAGAGGAATAACATCACGTAAAAAGTTCAAATATGCATATACTTCACGTTAGTTTACTCCACTTAATATTGATAGATTGTATTACTACTTCTTATTACTTCCCTGTGAATACTAATAAATGGCAGGAATAAAGAAATACGTATGTATGTATGGCTTAAACGTTCTAGTATCCAAAGCCGTAAACACCAATAAAATAAAATGGTATGCTAATGTAGTCATCGCAATGGGGGAAAGGTTTTATCGTTTATGCCACAAATTTCGACATTCAAAACGGAATCAAATATTTCAGTTGACCTTGAAGGATTAATCACGAGATCACGTCAATATCTTTTTGCGATTGATCTACTTATTTAGAATGCTGACTACGCCCTTGTATGGCGGATTTGTGACCACATATTTAATGTCCCGCGATCCAACTCTCGTTTATATTTATACTATTCAAGTAGTCCTTTCTAACAAACCAACCAAGTCGTGGAAAAAGAAACAAAAAAAAAAGATGAAAACCTCGTCACCCTATTTTAGGAATTTCATATGAATTTCACTCAAAGAAGGATAAATGAGGTGAAAACATTCGTATTTAAGTTCTTTATTATTTATAAAATATTAACTGTTGTCCCGTGACTTCGTCAACCCTGTATGATGTAGCTTCCATTAGGTGAAAGAATATTTAAAATCTGTCCAGTAGTTTCGGAGCTTATTCGATCCAAACAAACAAATAAACAAATATTTAGCCTTTCTAATATTAATATAGATAATTTCAGTTTTGGAAAAAAAAATATAGAAAGAAAATAGTATTTATTTATATATGAAGTAATTTTGTTCGTCTTTTCTATTCTGTATCGCGTTCAGTGTATTTTCAGTAATCAAGACATCATTCTGTTCAAAGAATTTTGATTTCAGTTTTATATTAAACTAGCTTTCGCCAGCGGCTTCGCACTTCGAAACAATGACCTTAGGGAAATGTAAAGTGGGATAAAAAGTATTTTATTATCTAAGTCATCTAATACCCTTTCTGTATACCAAATTTCATCAAAATCCTTTCAGTAGTTTCGCCGTGATTGACCGACAAACATCCAAACATCTAAACATCCAAACAAAGAAACTTTCACCTTTATAATATTAATAGGATTTAGAACATGATTAGAAGTAGTAATATCTCGCAGATAATATAATCAAATGCATACATGTGGTGTCGATAATTACCTACAAAAACCATTCATCATCATCACCAGCCCTTTTACGTTCCCACTGCAGGGGCTCAGGCCTTCCTTATGAATGGTTAAAGAGGATGGCTTCAAAAACCCTTAATTAAACTATATTTGCTTGATATCAATAACCTTTCAAATGGTAATCAAACTAAATCTGTTATAAAAATCATGGCATTTTATTAGGTATTCCTGGAACAAAATAATCTTCTCTTTATTTTGTAAAGGTTTTTGATAGCTTCAAAACTCTCTATAGTTAAATTGTAATAAAAAAATATTCTCTAAAGAAGCGCCATTATATTTAAATATCCACGGTGTAGATTCTAGGAAGTATTTATTTATCTTTTTTATCAATCATTCTAATTCATTTAACTTTGGTCTATAGATTTACAGAAAATGAATGGGTACGGTAAAAGTACAGTTTGTAGCAAATGAGATTCAACAGAGCCGCGAGTGCACTACTAAATGTTTTTTTTTTACAGTTTTAATTTTATCATGTTATTTTGCTTGTTTGTTTTAAAACTGAATTTTAAACCATTTATCCTCAACCACTCAAGCTGAAACTTTTCTTAATGTCGCCTTCGTTTAGCATTGCGTTTTCCAATAATTATCTCATGAATTATGATTTGAAGATCTCTATATTTGTTATATACATCATGTGGCCAAAATAAAAGAGATTTCTTGATGATACTAATGAGCTTGAGATCTTGCGTGCTACTAATATAAATGCGATATAATTCTTTTTGGGGTCCGTAACCCAAAATATAGCTAAAAATACATTAATTGCTTGGTTTGCGTTAGAATTTCCTGTCACGTTCAAAGCGTGTTCACAGCCGACCATTGAGCAGGTCATTAGTGTGATTGATTATTATAAAAAATTACCACACACTCGCAAACGAAATGCTTTTTATCATACACGACGTTGCAATCAAACGTCATAATAAAAAGACTTCAAAAAGAATGATTTAAGACTGAATATCTTTTCGTATGAATATTTTCAGATATTTTATATTTATTGGTGCTAATGAGGACCCATTTTTGTTTGAAAGGAAATACTAACCAAATGTTATTTATGAATTAATATTATTATTATTACTCCCAAGAGGGTTCCACATACATACGTGGTTAAGATTAGTATTTTGCAGTTAAGTAATCCGATAACAAGGAGCTCGATGGCGTAGCGGTTAGCGCGCTCGGTCTGCGTTACGATTGTTAAGCAGCTTTCTTATGGGCCTAACATAGGACGGGTGACTAATTAAGAGCTCCTCCGTGCTTCGGAAGGCACATTAACCCATTAGTCTCGGCTGCACTAATTAGTATTGGGCCCGCGTGGTGGGCCATGAACCATCTATAGGGAAGTCCTGAGGAATTAATAGGCTGGTGATGATGATGATGATGGATTTTGTAAATTCGGCTATGCTATTCTGTCAACAATCATCCTTAAGCTGCTTACACGTCAAGCACATCGTTGTGACAGCAGAGAACTTCAATGAATTAAAACCTCTGTTACCTTTTGAAGTAGTTTTTATCTGATTGAACTTGTTTTCTATAATAGCGCTATGTTCGACGTCAAATTTGAGACTGTTTTCGTTAAAAAAACAGCATTACAGTAACTTTTATAGAAAGGAGGTTAAAATTTCACTTGAATTCAAGGTTGGTTATATATTACGCAATGGATGCATAGCGAGCTAATCCTCGCTCAGTTTATGGAAGTAAGAGTGATCTGTAAAAAAACCATTTGTCTCCTTTTTGTAGGTCAAAGGTTGAATATTAAATAAAGTAAGAAGAATTGCTAGTAAGACGACTGCCCATAGGATTTATTTTTACGGTCTAACCACTAAACACGATTTGAATATAGTGCTCCGTTTTTTCGTTTTTGAAATAATTAACTTAAAGCAAGAGTATACCTATGAGAGAGTATACGTATGATTAAACAATGTTATTTCCAATTAATGTTTTCAATATGTCAAAGAAGATTTTTATTTGTCGCGATACATATACAGCGTTTACATTCTCTGCGCGATTATTTTTCACTCAATAGAAACATTTCTTGGCACTCGAGGATTTATTGAAGGTTACCCGTTTATCAAATGCTTACACGAGAATACACTTTTGGTTTTAACAGTTTGAATATAACAAAAATGCTTAATGTATCGACACTTACAATAACAAAAAGTAACCATATTCAACCTTAATAAAAAAAATAGAAAAGCTTTTCAGTTTAAGTTAATTACAATAATTTGTGATTTATTGGTGCTAATGAGGACCCATTTTTGTTTGAAAGGAAATACTAACCAAATGTTATTTATGAATTAATATTATTATTATTACTCCCAAGAGGGTTCCACATACATACGTGGTTAAGATTAGTATTTTGCAGTTAAGTAATCCGATAACAAGGAGCTCGATGGCGTAGCGGTTAGCGCGCTCGGTCTGCGTTACGATTGTTAAGCAGCTTTCTTATGGGCCTAACATAGGACGGGTGACTAATTAAGAGCTCCTCCGTGCTTCGGAAGGCACATTAACCCATTAGTCTCGGCTGCACTAATTAGTATTGGGCCCGCGTGGTGGGCCATGAACCATCTATAGGGAAGTCCTGAGGAATTAATAGGCTGGTGATGATGATGATGATGGATTTTGTAAATTCGGCTATGCTATTCTGTCAACAATCATCCTTAAGCTGCTTACACGTCAAGCACATCGTTGTGACAGCAGAGAACTTCAATGAATTAAAACCTCTGTTACCTTTTGAAGTAGTTTTTATCTGATTGAACTTGTTTTCTATAATAGCGCTATGTTCGACGTCAAATTTGAGACTGTTTTCGTTAAAAAAACAGCATTACAGTAACTTTTATAGAAAGGAGGTTAAAATTTCACTTGAATTCAAGGTTGGTTATATATTACGCAATGGATGCATAGCGAGCTAATCCTCGCTCAGTTTATGGAAGTAAGAGTGATCTGTAAAAAAACCATTTGTCTCCTTTTTGTAGGTCAAAGGTTGAATATTAAATAAAGTAAGAAGAATTGCTAGTAAGACGACTGCCCATAGGATTTATTTTTACGGTCTAACCACTAAACACGATTTGAATATAGTGCTCCGTTTTTTCGTTTTTGAAATAATTAACTTAAAGCAAGAGTATACCTATGAGAGAGTATACGTATGATTAAACAATGTTATTTCCAATTAATGTTTTCAATATGTCAAAGAAGATTTTTATTTGTCGCGATACATATACAGCGTTTACATTCTCTATTACAAAAAAAATACGTGTTTAATATTTTTTAACACTCTACCTGACGGACAAACAAACAAAAATTAGTCATCATCCCTATTCGGTACTCCTATAATAGTAAGTAAAACAAAAACAGACGTGTGTGTATGTGATTTAACATAGAGCCCAATATTGAGAGTAAATAAAAAGGATAAATAAATAACTTAAGTGAACAGTGTTGTGAACTGAAAGGGTGATTTCTGATAATTTCAAGTAAGTGTTTTATTATTATTCTACATCTTCTGTACAATATTTTTGTTTATCTTTTGTTATCTTCTTTATCTAATAGAACGATTCGTGTTCCTTCATCTATCGAACTCCAAAGTTTTGCGCTCGTCTGACACTCTTCTGCTTAACATGCCACGTCATTATTCTCAGTTTTATGATAAATCCTTTACAGTACAAGCCATTCGTCTGTGGAAAGCTCCCCCGGCGTGTATCATACAAACTAAAACTCACACATCTTTTAAGCCATGGCGAGGGATTACTATTTATCACTTACTTCTTAGTTTAAATAATATAAAAAAATATTCTTATTGTATTGTATCTATACTTGATTTCTACCTTATATCATGTTCTTTTTTCTTTGCTTCTTCTAAATTTTATATTTGCTACTCTTACTGCTTCTAGAAGTACTACTGTACATACAAAGGTTGTCTGGAAGAAATTGCTTTATGCGATAAGGCTGCCCTTGTACTACCTTATAAACAATTATTCCGAGATAATTTTGGAAACAATGGTGTGTATAATAAAGAATTTTTGTATTTTATTGTAGTTTTTTATTTATGGTAAAAAATTAAGTTATCTATGGAAATTAACCATTATACGTTATGACGTATAATGTTATGACATTAGATTAATTTTGCATTCACAACGCTATACTGGATAATATTCTTGTCGAACTCACGACTTTTCGTAATTACGTATAAATCAGTCAATGGAAATCAATAAGTACCTAAAGGAAATAAGATAGAATGAGCCTACACTTGTTGCCTTTTGATTTTGATTTGATTAATTAAATTCACTTTTTCATGAATGTTGTAAGATAAATATTAATGTAGAATTATGAATACAAAATTCAGTGAATACTATATTAAGTTAAATTTCTGTAAAAATAATGATATATTCACATTTCACATACCGTACTAGCTTTCGCCAGCGGCTTCTCCCTCGTAGTCCCCATGCAGGGAAATGTTTAGTGGGATAAAAAGTCAGCTAATACCCTATGGGCGCTTGTGCACTACACTGAATTTTCAGGTCCGGCGGTCAGATTTTTTCCGGTCCGGAATGACATGAAAAACTCGGATGAGTAGCTTGTGCACTTGTCCGTTTTTTTCCTGATCGGAGCGGCGCAGTGTAGGGCAGCTCTCTTTGAAGCTACACGTCACTTATGCTAGGTACGATGAGATTTTTGGAACGTTGGTAATTCCGTTCGAAGACGTAGAAAGGTACCTAAATAATGATCTGATCGTTTTACATAAACCATAATAAATTATGGCAAGACGAAAGCATTTTTTTTACTACTATCGGATGACTACTATCAGATGTAAAAACTTATACCCTTACTAATTTAGGAACAGCATTATTCACATACAATAGCTAAAAATATCTGACATTAGAATAAAATTACTGTACTGGCTAGTACTTGATGTTTAAATTTTTAAATGTGCTATTTTTTTTTCGAAGTTTTGTAAAAACAACTTTCAGCGATTACAGAGATAGACCAATCGGTGGCGCCATTTCGTAAACAAATCGAAATTAGTGCCGTGTTAGCGGAGAATTATTATGCTAAATGAACTTTACGAGATCAGTTGACTGTATTATATATAGGCATAATTTTATACGCGTGGTGTAGTTTCTTTGAGCAGAAATATTATTCCCTTAGAATACTTATTTTTTTTTAAATTTATTAATGACACAAAAATACATTTAAAATTTTATTAAATGCGAAAAAGACATTGAGTGTCACTAAATTACTTTTGTTGATCTTCTGTTTATTCTTTATTATTACTTCTGTTGTCAAATATTTATCTATACTTATCAATTGTTTAAAAAAAAATTGATAATGACAAATTTCCAGGCAAACTTTCATCCCCTATTTTTCGCAATAAAATGTAGCCTAAATTAATATAGTAAATAGACTTAACTTTAAGAAAGGTCTTA